CCCCTCTGCTGCCCCTCTCTGACTGCTGTGTCCCTCCCCTCCCCACATGTCCATCCTTGCCCCTCCTGGAGTCCTGGCCTCACCAAGCACCCAGCCCACGCAGAGCCCCCGGGTACTCTGGCCCGTGCCCCTCACCCAGCCCAGCCCCCATCTGCTCTCCTGTTCTCGTGCATCCCTCGCCAAAACCAAGCCCCTCGAAGGCCCCAGGTCCCCAGCTGTAGCACCTGCCTGAGCAGGGTGCACCTCACTGAGCCCCCATCCCGTTACCCACCTCTGCACAATGCTGCCACTAACCGGGTCCCCAGCCCCAGAGGCCACCAAGTCCAGGCCTTCCCTGAGCCGTGCTGGCTGGCCCCCACGTGGCCCTGTCCTTTCTGGGCCCACCCTCGTGGAAGCTCCAGACCCCCTTTCCCCAGGTCTGACCCCACACAGCCCAGCCCAGAGCCCCGAGCCCCGCCTCCTGAACCTGCATTCCTCATACAGTCCAGTCTCCAAGGCCGTGACCTCTCACCCGTTCGTCCCCTCTGCCCGTGGGGCCAGATGTCCTTGTCCAAGCCCCTAATGACACTTATCTGCTTGGAGACAAGTCCACTCAGCTGCCCATGCCTCTCTGCCAGCCCTGCCTGGCCCACCTGGGCCTGGTCCCCTGCAGATGCCCCTTCCCCTAATCAACACCGGCCCACCCGGCCCAGCCCCTTCTGGGAGCCTCCATTCATGCCACACCCTCTCATTCCCTCTCACACTTGTCCCCAGCTGACCTCCCCTTCCTGCAGAAGTCCCAGCGGGTCCGTCTGCAAGGGAGAAGCCGCGGCCCTCTTTGCCTCTCCCGGAGCCCCTCACCTCACCATGCAAGTGGCCTCCGAGCTGGGTTCTCTTTACCAACCCAGCAGCCTCCACAGAATCCAAAGCCCCCCAGAAGTTGTGTCTATGCACCGGGGCCCCAGGTTTCCTTCCCCAGCTCCCTCCAAGTCCCTGTCCTCCTCTGAGGCCCTGACTGCACCCAGAGCCTCTCCTCTCCTAAAGCCCCCTTTTCCTCTGACCAGCTCAATCTGGTCAATCCGCCGTCTCCACGACCCTCTCTCCTCTGAGCCTGGGCCTTCCCAGGGGCCCCTTCTCTCCGGGAATCCTTGCCCGCCTCTGCCCCAGTCCTCTGCCAACCCCCTGCTCTCCCCGAACCTCTGTGTGCTATGAGCCCTAGGCCCTCTCTGAACCCTGGACAGGCCCCACCCCCTCTGCAGCCCTCCCTTTTCCAGCCCCGCCCCCTGGCCTCCCAGGCCCAGCCTCATCCATGGCCTCAGGAACCCCCAGAACCTCCAGGAGGCTGACAAAACCCTCTGTGAGTGGGAGAGGTCCCAAGCACCAGGGCCACCCTCCATCCTGGCCCACGCCCTGGGCACAGCTGGACCCAGACCAAGAGCCCCCAGGCATGAAGGTGATGGGGACTGTGGGGGGACCAGGATTCAGTTCTCCTTCACACGACACCCACTGCCCCCTTGCCAAGGGCCCTCGCTTGGGGGCACCTGGACCCCCAGGCCTCAGGAGGCGCCTGACCTAAGGTGTGGCCCGCCTGCGGTCTGCAGCCACACCGCCGGGTCCCCGGGGGCCCAGCACTGCCTCACCTGCCCCAGGCCCCGCCCCACGCTGCTCTAGGCAGGCAGGCTGCAGGCAGCGGCCAACAGAGCTGGTCTGCACAGGAGTCCTCCTGGCCCCGGGGGCCTGCTCCAGACTGCCTTGAGGCTGCCTCCTTCTGAGGACCCCAGAACCCAGGGCGGTTGGGGGAAGGGGGCTCCAGCCCCCACGGGCCTCCACCCAGTAGGTGAAGGAAGGGGCTCGATTTGGGGGGGGGTGTCCTCCAGGCAAGGGCAAGAGGCAGGAAATGCCCACTGGAGCCTGCGGTGCTGATGCAGAGCCCAGCAAGCCCGCCAGGAAGAGTGCCAGGCGCTGAGCTGGGCACCCAGGCCCCTGGCGAGGAGTGCCCTGTTATCACCCATCTTCTAAAGACAGACCAGAGGCTTAAGGTTGGTTGGACCGTAGAGGCTGGACCTGAGCCCGGAGTCAGACTCCGGAGTCCGGAGGACGCCGACCAGCAGCCCAGGCCAGCCAGCCGTAAGGTCCCGGCTCTGGGCAGGGGCGTCAGCACCCCAGTGGCCGGTAGGGGCTGGAGGCCCAGCCTGCGCTCATCGCCGTAGCGTCGGGGGAAGGGCCGGGGGCATCCAGCGGTGCTGGTCCCCAAGTCCCAGAGAGGGGATGGGGGGGGCGTCCTGGCCGAGGGCCAGAGCTGTGTGACAAGCGGCACGGCGGGTGGTGGGAGACAGAGCCCAGGGCAGCCGGCAGGAGCCGGGCAGTGGTGCAGAGTGCGGCCTCCCTCCCGGCCCGCCCTGATGCCAGGCCTCTCGGCGCACAAGGGCTCGGATGAGGCGGCCCCCCCGGCAGCCTTGCCAGGCCCTGCGGCTCTGCGACTCCAGGCTCCCCACTCATGTTTCAGGCGCATGTTACCAGCCTCCCTGCGATTCTAGCCGAATGTCTGTTAAAGGTGCCAGTGAGGGCTCAGTTCTGGGGTGCGGCCCCCTGACCCCCTCGACTGCCACGCCCCTGAAGGCTGAGGGGGTACCGGCACAGTGCCGCGTGAAACGTTTGCTGTTTCTTCACACCTGCAGGGGGTGGGCGCCCGGCAAGGGTCCGGAGCCACCGATCCCAGCTGCTCACAAACTCCTATTCATCCCTTAAAACCTCCTGGCCGTGCAGCTGCATCTGGGTAGATACTCCTGAGGGCCCCTCAGGGAACTCCCAACAGGCTGGACCACCAGGAAGGTCACGCCACCTGAGGGCTTCCTAACTGGGACCCCCCGAGCCGAGGTCTCAGGACCCCAGGCTGGCCTGCTCTGGTGCCGGCTTCGCACAGAGGCTGCGTTCAGGTGCTGGCTGGGAGCCCCAGGGGGAGGCGGGGTGCCCTTGCCATCAGCCCCACTCAGGCGCCTGTCCTAGACTCTAACGGGTGTGCAGGGGGACCAGGGAAGTCCAGGGCCCCGCCGCTGGCGGAAAGTGTGGCAGGTACTCACCTGGACCACTCTGAAAGCCCCGTCCTGCGGCCTCCCGCCAAGGCCACATCCGGCTGGTCGCAGCCCCGGGCCTCACTACCAGCCCACTCCCGGCCAGTGGCCTCTCAGCCTCGAGGCTGGGCGGCAAACCAAAGCCTCCAGGGTCCCTTGTGCAGGGCAGGGGGGCTGGGGGCTGGGAGCCAGGGCACCCCCAAAGGCCCCTCCCCGCCCCTCGCCCCAGCC